AAGAAGAAGAAGAAGAAGAAGAAGAAGAAGAAGAAGAAGAAGAAGAAGAAGAAAAAGAAGAAGAAGAAGATTGTCCATGGGGATGAAAAGGAAGGAGAAACAAAAACTCACTCAAACTGTTCTTGTACAAGAGCTCTAAAACCATCGGAGCACGGAGGTTGACTCGGCCTCTCCACAGACTCTTCTTTCTCTTTGTCCCCTGAGGTTTCTGTACAGAGAAAGAGATAAAGGGAGACACATTTGATAGAAATAGATCTACAGATGAACCTACTCTAACTGCCAACTGTCTATGACAATCACCTTTACATTCAACCACTTCTTATCCCCCTCCCCACACCATGCATTAAAAAAGAAAATAAACAAAAAAACTTCTAAAAAATCAAAATTATAATGACATTGTTTGAAATGTCCACCTGTCTAAAACAACCTCTTTTCTCTCTAAAAATTAGTGGCCATCTTGGATAATTCCGACAGCACTTCAAGTTATAGTAGGTTATACAGTAGTCTCCGCCTAAGATCCCACACTGAGGTGTGAACTTACCAACGTATTTGTTTTCCCCAAACATCGCATTCACATCTGAGCTCTCCACCTAAACTTACATCACTCGCTGGGTGGGTAGGGCCCACAAATTCGCTCCAGGCAGGATCACATCAAACTGAACTCTTCCCTGACCATTGCATCAGTTGTCTCTACACGAATTTGCGAGACAGACTTGTTATTGGAGTGGTCACAATGTAATGGAGAATAACGGCAAAGGTGGGGGAAATCGGTCAGAGACGGAGTTATAAATTTTGGACAGGGAAAGGGGAGGGGCAACTGGATAAGCGTAGATCCTTGAGACTCACGAAAGGACAAAAAGTGTAAATGGCATGTCTCATGCCACCGTGATTGGTCATCAAGGTAGACCACTCCTTGCTCGCCATATGTCACAAACCCATCCAGGGGTCAGGTCAGTTCATTTTAGAGTGGGGAGAGACCATTTTACTGGTAGTGGGCCTTAACATAGATCACTGAAGATTCTTCCTTTGGTGTATCGACTAAGATCTCCTTTCTGATTATCAAAACATTACAACAGTTCTAAACAATTAAACAACGAAAAAGAAAGTCAAATATATCAGAACTATGCAAAAAAATTATTTGAAACACTGGGCAACATGAGTTAAATTCTCACATTCTGGACTGTAAAATGAGGACTAAATCACCTACCCCCTGCATCACTGGCTGGCTGAGAGAACATCTTACGGTAAAGACTCTTTTCAAATGACGTGTGCTCTTTGATAGACCTGTTATAAGAAATTTCACGAGGTCAAATAATTTTTTATACAGTAATAGCAATAATAATAACAATAATGATAATGATAATAATAATAATAATAATAATGGGAATTTATATAGTGCCTAATCCACCAACAACAACAACACTACAAACATACACATACACACACACACACAAGCACACAACTTCTAGACTAAAACACATTCTCATATACAAAATTTACAGGCAGAGAATAGTAGGCTTACAAAACAGTATAAAAACATAGAAATCTACAAATAATAAAGAATCTGATTACTGCAAGAAAGAAACCTAAAAAACACATGATGGAGCTTGTGGGTTGTTTTTTTTAAATTATCTTGACACTGTCGGAGACATCCACCTCTAAGACAACCACTTTTCTCCTTTAGTTTGTAGTTTTAGCAAAGATAGTACAGCCTATGGTAAGATGCTGCAGTGGCCCAATTTTGTGAGGCACATCGACTCCCAGCACCACTAGCGGCAAGCGTGCAACAGAATGTAAACAAACACGGCCAGAGACTCGTTACGCTCATGCTGTCGGCTTTACTGGCCAGTTTTGTTCAGCGATCGGCCGTTTTAATTCCAGAGGAAAAACCAAATAATTGTCTTTCTTCAGATTCCCTAAGGACGAAAAATGGAAAGATTATGTAAAATTGATTTTTTAATCTAGAGTCTAGATTAGAGCTAAACTAGAGAGACCAGATAGTCCAGCCTGTAAGCTTTGTTTACTCTCTGCATCATGCATCCTTGACAAGGACAAATGCTTTGTACTCTGTACTTTGTTGTGTGAGGGCCCATTCCATTAGGTGTAGAATTAGATTCTAGGTGTAAATGTTATATAGATCTATATGTTTTCTGTGTTGTAGGTTATTATGTAATTTGTGCTTTAGCACAACACAGAGAGATCAGTATTTTGCATATTAACTTGTAACTTTTTATGAAGTATATGGGCCATTGACCTGTGAAGTCAATAAAGTCTAATTCAATTCAATTCTCTCTTACTACACACACTCATACACAAATTATGTACGCAGGTACACGCACACACACACGCGCGCGCGCACGACCATATGTCCTGACCACCTCTGTACATTTTATCGTCATCACGGATACCATCACATCATCATGAAATCATCTTCATGTACATCACAAAAACCACCTCCACAAACATCCAGTGGCCGTGGGTGGACCAAGATTTGGGTGGGGCTTAGGTTGGTTCCACTTCTTTACTACAAAACCTCAAGCACTAAGAGCTCAAGAGTGATGATTTTTCTATACTCACGGTGAGCCACGGCATTTTAAGAACCATTCAAACGGAGAATCAACTTTGTCTTCCATCTTTTTATTCTAAGTTAACTCTAGATTCTCCTGGATAGCAGGGACGAAACCGTTTCACCTCCACATTTTTTCTTAACTAATTTTCATCTGATGAAAAAGTTGCCTTAAAAGTGGTTCGACGTGATTTATAACACTTAAATCTCAGGAGCACACACAGCACCTCAAGCATATTATTATTCCGTCTATGATGAGCTGGCTGCAGCTGTGTAGTCGAGGAAAATTGAAAGCACCTTACGAAGGTCCAATGAGTGCATAGGTGACTGTGTCACTGGGGAAAGTGTCGTAAACTTTCACCCCGTTGTCAAAGCAAGGAGAGCGTGAGCCCTTAAAAAAGAGAGAGCGAGTTAATAAGACATATAGATCTATAGATCTACTTCTATGTTGTATTCTTTGTATTCATTCTCTCTCTCTCTCTCTCTCCCTCTCTCTCACTCACCCACTCTCTCTCTCTCTCTCTCTTTCTCTCCCTCCCCCCCTCTCTCTCTCATGCTATTGTAGCGTTCCCTGGTTAATACTAATTGAAACTATCTTTTGATTTCAAATAACGCATACTCTTAAAGATCCTGTCATCAGTACTATCTCATCAATACGATCAATGATATTGCATTGGTCTAGGCCTAGATTTCGTGATTGTCAATGTCTGGGCCTAGATCTAGATCTAAATTTAGTAGATCGTGAGCTATGCACCCGGTGCCCGGTACACTAGATTTATCCTCTGATCTTATCACTCGTTACCGAAGTGAGACTTTTTAAATCTAATGTTTTTCTTTTTAAATAATTTAGATCTAGATAAATTATTGAAATACGTTGATCAATACTTAAGTTTGGTAGACAGGTCTATATAAGTATTTAGATCGATATAGATCTAGGTCTAGATAAGATTGGGCCCTAGAGTAGGATTAACTAGGACTCTCTCATACTTTATCCAACAAGCCCAGGGCCAAGACATCGGGGCTCAGTCACACGCTCGCTAGGGGTGTGGCCTATTTTACGCATGCTACGTCTTTTTAACAAAGGGAAAGAGACAGCTGCAGCATCTTAACGTAGGGTGTTGTATCTTTGGTCTTAGTAGAAGTTTTACGGCGCTCGCAACTGCATAAGGTGATATGAGCGCCAAGGGGTGGATGTCAACAGAGAAGTCCTAACAGGGAATCAGACTTACTCTGTTCATCTCTCTAGCTTCAACAGCACAAAATCAGCTTCAACTATCAAGGCACTCCGGAAATAGCAGGTCACAAAAGTGTGACAAAAATACAAAAGAAGTAGAGGAAAACTGACGATAGTAAGGATTAGGAAAGAAAAAGCAGCAGTTCCCTGTTGCAGTTCAAGCACAGTCATGAGCATGACATCGATGAACCAGGCCATTTACAGTTCTACTGTTCATAAGAAGAGGTTAATGTCCCCCCTTTGGGAATGGCCTAAAGCCACTTCAGTCAGTAGCACTGCCTCGGGGGGTAACTTTTCTCCTTGACAGTTTGTAGCCATCTTTAACAATTCTATCCCCTTTTCTTTTTTTTTTTTAAATGCAGGTGTTGTTACACCCCCATCAAACAAAATTTTGATCATTTAAGAGGCGGGTCAGGGCCAATCCGAGTTGAGAGGGACACATCCCAGCAGAAAGATATTCGATATAGATTTTCCCCCCATTCAGGAATCAAACTCAGGTCTCCTGGCATAACTGCTACATCAGACACCTGTAAATTTGACTGTATACATATCCATTGGCACAAAGAAATAGAGAGAGAATACAAGTCATATTATGACACTGTTGGGTCCTTACCAACAAAAATACATCTCTTCTAAGTCTGAGAATTAGACTGGGACAAAACTGAAATGTATGAACAGTCTGAATTTGGCAGCTTTGAAAACAACATTGCAATAAAAGCAGCCAGACATGTGAAAGTTTTCAAAAAATGTTTCGAACCCATTTGAACTACAGATGAGTAACTTTAAAAGACTAACCACTGAAATTGGTAAAGTCTGCAGTCGCTGGGTACATTTCTAGAAAATTGTACTTTGCATGGTTTAAAAAAAAATTATGATGTCTTATCTCATTAGGAGTTGTGCCCATTTTACTATGGATTCAGCATGTTGAGGGCAACTTTTGCAACACAACTGTAGGGTTTAAGAGGTTAAAAATACAATGACAATTATATTGTGATTTGAACATAGAAAAAGCTGATACCAGATCTGGATCTAACAAGCTCTCCCTCAAACCACCCTCTGCCAGCCTTATTATACTGCAAAAACCCGTCATCACTCACTTGGCTAGATCTTTCAACGCGTTATTGATCAACATATCACTGGGCTTGAGATTCCGAGCTGTGCGCAAACTCTGCTTGGCATCCTCAAAGCTGCCCAAGGAATGTAAGGCCTGGAAATGGAAAATGAAGCAGCTAAATTAAATGCAATTGAGCACAGACGACATAAACATGGAAAACTCTCATCGCTTATAGCTCTTAAAATTTTCCATTCCCCAACTGATACTGATATGTCTTAATTAATTTTTCGTTATCGGTTAACCCGATTTACGGATGTGTCATACGTATTTTGTCGATCCTTGATATTAATCTGTGCCCGACTGTATCAACATTTTAATCTTAAGTCGCATATCTGTATATCTGCGATGAAGTACCAATTCAATTTTTAAAAATAGAAATAAAGACAAAGAAACTACAATTAATGTGTGACAACAAAACCAGCTCAAAAAGATCAAATATTGCCGCTCAGAGAGAAATGGGGAGGATATGGGATTTAAACTACCGCAACTACTGTAGCAGAATAACAGAAGAGACAAAACTCATTTGCTAGAAAAACAAAATTAGAAAAGCGAACTCAAAGAGCCAACACAGTCACCTACCAGCTCGCACCCCTCCTATCTCATCCAAACATCTCCATGAAACCAAAGAGACAGCTTATCACTTTAATATATACATACCAAAATTATGCTACCAGAGCCTGACCTGGACATTAAGTAAAACTCAGGAAAGCAAAATCACTGCATGTGAAATGAAATGTCTTTGCAAAACCCTTAACATCACAAGACTAGACAGGCAGAGAAATGAAGATGTAAGAGAAGCCATTGGCACTGAGTCCTGCCTGCATTAAATAGAAAGACAGAATAAAATGGTTTGGCCACCTGTTACATATGTCACCTAGCCAGCCAGCCTCAGGAGTCTATAACACCAAGCATTCAGGTTCAGGGATGCCACTCAACTTTTTTTAAATAGCTGAAAATCCACGCGCCACGGTTTGCTAACATATGAATATCAATTTGAAACCCAAAGAATGTACATTTTTTTTCTAACTATAGCACAGCGGGTAAAATACCGTCCAGACCGCTCACTTAGTTTTCCTTCCCCGGTTCCCCCTCGACCATCCTCACCACCCTGCCCGCCCCGCCCGACAGCCCAGCGCGTAGTCATAAATCACTTGTCAGAGGGGTTAATTGGGGTGACTGCAGCGCCACTCCTCCTGTGCCGGGGCAGTAGTAAATATGGCGTTTTAGTGCGAACTGAAAGCCTCCTAACTCTGAAACTATAAATGCTACAAGGCCGATTGAGATTTCATTGTAACGTGCTATGTTTGACCTGTAGGCCGGTATAACTTGTTTTCTTGTAAGTCCGATTATATCAGTTTTACAAGGGATTTAAGTAAGTCTGTGATTTTCAAATTGGCATCTTCAATGTTTAGAACTTTTTCAGTTTGGATTTAGATATTTCAATCCGGCCCCCAACGATTTAAACAGAAATTCATGTATCAACTGTGGTGACAATTTTCATTTACATGTGCAAGTTTCAAATGCACGAAGTTATTCTATGATTTTCTGTGATTTTTAAAAAATACCAACCCACCACTCTGAACATTCATCCTTGCTGTTTTTAGTTTTCTTGCCTCTACTACATCTGAATTTCGTTGTCATTTTTAACAATATTGTTGTCATGGAGTGCCACACTCAACATGATCATATGGTGGGCATTGTGCTCAAACATCATCGCCTTCTTGAGGAGGCCGCACATGATATAGATGTACAGCTGGTCCATCAATCTATGGAGAATTGCACGCCTGGAATAGGACAAAATGTGCATATCTACGGCAAAAAATGAAAGAGGGCTGGACAAAAACGAGGAGGACATTCAATTGTTACAGGGCTGTCAGATTTTGTCGGATAATCCACGAGAAGCAGACAGATTTGAGAGGAAGGGTTCTAGTGTACATGATCAGCTGTCAGAGTTAGAGTTTGAGGAGCTTATTCCAAGGTCAAGTCCTGCCTGCTCTGAATTTGATAACATCCTCAAACAACACAACATCACACCACAGGCCTACCACAGCCGTTCATTTATAGGAAGCCACTGCCATAAATACATCACAGCCCATGTGTACAGACAGCTAGCATCATTTTTAGCAAAAGGAACAGTTGCATGTACACGAAATCAAAGCATAATAGACACCGCATTAATTGTTCTGAGAGAGAAATTTGTTCATGTAAAAGACACCTTCAAAGATATCCACACAGTAATTGCACATGGAAAGCCAATCACTTTAGAGAGAATACCACATATTCAGTCATGCATCACACGATATATGTCTTTATACAGAAACATATTTGGCAAATAAAAGGTCTTGAGTTGATAGTGCCGTAAAACACGTGCTACTCAATCAAAATCGATCAAAAGAAAAGGTCATCCCCAAACAACACATCCCTGACAAACACTGCGTTCCTTGGATACAAAAATGTGGGTTTGGAATGGCCTTCCATTGTGAGCAAGGGGGTGATCTCATTCATGCAACCGTGGCCTAACAGACAAAGAAAAACACGTCAAAACAATCATGCAGTCACAACACGTCCAAACCCACCCTGAGCTACTCTGTCGTGTGCACCACCAATCAAAAGATGAAAGCTTACAGCGGAAAAATGAGATAATTCCTCCAGTCCAGCAATATTGTGTTCTTTTTGTATTTTGTGTTTAGGTTGTGTTTTCATAAGTGTATCGGCAAGAAAGATCTGTCCTGTAGTTACATGTATCGTGGATATCGCTATGAAAAAACAAGGTCGCAAAGCAAGAGTATTGCAAAAATCAACTTCAAACCTGAATAATTACGGATCCAGAAACTTCGTGCATATGCCCCTTTGTCAGTACAAATTTCATTATGTTCTCAGTCCTGTGTGCAAATTTGATTGAATTCGTCGGGGGCAATCATATTTAAATCGATGTTTATAATTGATTACCCATGACACATTTATCAAATTAAGTCCCCTTTTTGAGGACTTCACAGCTTTTAAGTGTAAAGTACCATGTTCTTCCGATTTCTTCATTTTCTTCCTTAATATGTTGAATATTTACGTGGTCTTTATTAAAATATTCATCTTACATTAGCTTTGGCTCACTGTGCTGGTAAACTTTGCAAAAAATACAAGAGCGCTGCCGGTGTTCGGCTGATTAGGGAAATCCCCGGCGGCGCAGGTAAATGACCCCGTGACCTGGGGAAGAGCGGGCTTGCTTGCCTCGCGCCAGCCGAAACTAAATGGGCGCTCTATAACCGCTGTGATAGATTCTATCTCGATCAATAACGGAATAGTGGATCAGGATCAAAATACCGGATAAAAGCGGAAAAGTGGCATCCCTGCAGGCTATAAAGGAAGAGGAAGGCCACAAAAAAGGTGGATTGAAAGTGTCAAGGAAACCCTGAGCAATCATAATATCCCAACTGAAAGAACTGCTGAGTTGGCCTTCCATAGAAAACTGCATCTCCCCTTGATGCTCAACGGCAACAGAAGAAGAAAAAAGTAAAAGTAAAGTAAGTAAAAAACTCATTTTGGAAGGATGAAAGAACAAGTACCGGATACAGTAGTGAGTTATGGAATGTCAAAAAAAACCCATGTCCATTTTCTTTTTGAGGACACACTTACATCAGTATGTTCAATTTAAAAAAAAGAGAAATAAAGAAAAGGAAACTACTGTACACCTACCTTGCCCTTGAAGTAATGTGCCTTCACAGCGTTGCGGTCCAGCCTCAGGGCATTGTTGCAGTAGGAGATGACGCGGCCAAACTGCTTGAGGTAGTTGGAGCAGGTGGCACAGTTCAGGTACACCCTCAGGCTTTGCTTGGTCCACTGCGTCTGTTCCTCCTCATTCTTCAGATTGTATCTCTGGAGCACTTCTTCTGCCTGCAATAAGTGATGCACCAGCAATATCAGTCTCACATCTAGATGCTCATTGGTCAAATTTATGATTGGATCAGGTAAGACATGCAACAATATTAGTCTCATATCTAGAAACAGTTGTCCTTTAGTCAAATTCAGGATTGGATAGAGTAAGTGATGCAACAATAGCAGTCTCAGATCAACCAACAGGAGCCCGCTGGTCAAATTCATGATTGGATTATTGTGGGTTGGGTCGAGTAATAGTGTTGGCCACTGCACATTGTATCAAATAAGACTTCAGCTTTGCTTCATCAAATTTGACCCAGCAGCCAATGAACGATACTCTCATATCCAACTTGTTCACCAACTTGCTTCAAGACAACCTCTCATTTTCAGAAGGAGTTGAAGTTTGCTGCTTCACCTACAGTTGCTGGGAAGTTTATATATTTGCTCCGTGCTATTTACCGATGATTGCGCAGCCCGCTTTAACAATCGTATAATTGTGCAGCAATCTTAAGATTGCCGCAGCAATCTTAAGATTGCGACCCGCCTTTTAACAATCGTATAATTGCGCTGCAATCTGAAAATTGCGTTAATATTTTATATTTTTAGAATAATTATTTTAAAAAATTCATTCCGTCTTTATTCTTTTACTCACATCAAGGAACATTCACATATATTTTCCAAAGTGGAAAAATATGAAAATTAAAATTAAAATAAACATCAGAAACTGAAGAGCTCACAAGAATGATACAATGCCAGGCTCAAAGTTCCCAGAGTACATTTAGTTTATTTTATATTTTTTAAATAATAAAAAAAAAAAAAATTCACTTCCATCTTTTTATTTTTTACTCACATCAAGGAACATTCACATATATATATATCGATTTTCCAAAGTGTAAAAATATGAAAATAAAAAATTAAAATTAATGTATGAAACAAGTGTAAAAATATGAAAATCAAAACTAAAATCAAAATTAACATATGAAACTGAAGAGCTAACAAGAATGATACAATTATACGATCCTTAAAATGCACATCACAATCATCAGATTCTGCGCAAATATACAATCGACCGATCGCTAAAACCCGCAGCGCAATCTTGCACCCATCGGTAAATAGCGCGGAACATATTCACTAGTCGCAGGACTATGTCAAACTTACTTTTAGTAGAGGTTTTACGGCTCTCGCAACTGCATATGAGCGCCAAGGGGTGGATGTCAACAGAGAAGTCTTTACAGGAAAACAGGCTTACTCTGCTCACCTCTCTAGTTTCAACAGCACAAAGTCTGCTTCAACTATCAAGGCACCCCGGAAATAGCGGGTCACAAGAGTGTGGCAAACATACAAAAGAAGTAGAGGAAAATGACGATAGTAAGGATTAGGAAAGAAAAAGCAGCAGTTCCCTGTTGTAGTTCAGGCACAGTTATGAGCATGACATTGTTGGATCAGCCCATTTACAATTCTACAGTGCATTAGAACGAGAAATGTCCCCCCCTTTGGGAATAGCCTAAAGACACTTCAGTCAGTGGCACCACTCCGGGGGGGTTATGTCAAACTAAAATCTGAAGCAACTGTTCAACTCTGAAAGGAAAACTGTCTATCGATAATATAAATCCACCAAATTATGTTTTAAATCTTTCAATTCAATTTTTTAAAATTAAAAATATCTCGAGGTAGCTGACAGACATCAAATGTGAATTTAAAAGAAGACAAAACAAGGACCACAGCCTATCATTATGAGAAACATCAGCATAAACATCACAATCACAAGCATCAACAGAACAGTGATTATACAACACCCATTAAAGGGAGGGGGGGGGGGTGTAATCACTTTTCAGAATAATCTAGATATCCATCTTGACATGATAAGAAATACGTGTAAAAATCTTGTTGCAAGCGCAGTTACAAAAGTACATGAATAAACACGTCTCCTATCTATTAGTGTGAGCAAAAAGATTTTGAACCAACCCATCTTCTCTGTAATAGCCTAAGTAAATAAAAAGAATATGCTTTTATACTCGCTATACCAGCTAATCCACAACACAGAGCGGACAACAGCACCAGCATGCCTACCTTTCTGTATTTACCAAGAGCTCTGTGATATTCACGCTTCTCAAAGTACTCTTTTCCCTCCTGAGGAAAAAAGAATTTATTATGTGACACAAACAAAGATGGTACATACATCATGAACTTATTCTCTGAAGTTAGAGAATAGATTAATTATGGTCACTAAAGAGAACCCTAAAAAAATTAAAGTTTTTCCCCAACACAACATAGCTACTTCAGGTTCTTCAGTATATATTTAAGTATGACCAACAGATCATTCCTTTATCTAGCATAAACATAACTCTCATACAATACTTAATCCCGCACAGTTAAGCCGGTCCCAGAGTGGCTCTGTAGGTCTGACCTGTAGCTCGCCTGGCTCGCTCCGTGAAAATGAATGTATACATTATTGTGTGCTAAAGCAGCGTAGCTGTATCGTCTGTTTTTTGTCTGCAGAGCTGCGCGATGCGTCAGACGTGCTATTCAACAGTGTTGTAAAAATGGCGGACATGTGTCGCCTCGCTTGGTGTTTATTTTCGACTGAAACTCTTCACAGATCATCAAAATCAACAAGAAGTATGTATTATTAGGTGCTTTACTATTAAATATTGATGCTAGCCTCAACACTTGGCCACAAAATCACCAAGAAATGCACTTTATCATACTTTGAAACTTCGAATCGAGAGGTTGACCTAGTTTCGACTGTTGTCGTAGGCCTTGGCCTAGGCCTAAATTTAGGCTAGGTGTGCTTCTCTAGATTTAGATCTACTTTCCGAACTGCACTCCCTCCTTGGCTGGGTGCACAACCAAACATAGATCTAGATCTAGATCCACGTTTATTCATTAATTAATACTTTCTCTCTCTCTCTCTCTCTCTCTCTCTGAGCTAAAATAAATTAATTCTAGTAGGCCTAGGCTAGACATACAGCCCGAGATGATCAGCAGATCTAGATCTAGATCTAGATCTAGCCTTGCATTGTAACCAATGTAAACTATCGCCGCGTGCAGCTGCAAGTGTGTTTGTGTGTGTGTGTGTGTGTGGGGGGGGGGGGGGGGGGGCTGCACTTGGCACATGACGTAAAGAAAGAAGAGTTGTCCCGTCTTGGTACCATTGGTCTTGGATTACACAGTACCTAAATATAGCAAGGCAGACCCGTCAGTTGCACACCTACACACGTCAACACACAGTGCGGCTGTGCTGAGACGCAGCGAGTGTGCCCCGCGCTCGCTGAGACATAGGCGCCAACCCACAGTGCAACTGTGCTGACACGCACACGGCGTGCGCCAGGCCAGCTACAGGTCAGGCCTACAGAGCCACTCTGGGACTGGCCTTACACATGAAGGGCTGAGATGCAAAACCCTCTACGTCCAATTTAGCATTTTTGAGAAAAACAGCTTATTTCAATTTAGCACTTTTGAGAAAATCAGCTTATTTCAATGCTGCTATACACAGAAACATGAATAAAAAGATTTTTTGGTGGCTTTTATGAAGTATATGATGTTGGGTTTTGGCCGAAAACACTTTGTGCATCTGACAACTGGTAACAAAGTGCATTTAATAGCAAATAATTATAATAATTTTCATTTTTTAAAAAAATGTCGGTTAGCAGGTTTTCCATTTCACCCCCTCACATATTTCGCCAAAATTCCCCAAGATGGCCACCTACTGTCGAGGAGAATAGTAGTTGTCTTACACTGGTGAACGTCTTGGACGTTGATAATACTATTACTATCATTATATATTTTTTATGCAAGGGTAGAGATGGGAAGTGATTTGGTGGGGGGGATGGGGATGGGGGATGAGCATTTTACGGCGCTCGCAACGGCATAAGGTCATATGAGCATGCGGGACAAACCAAACATTTTCAGTTAATAGAAAATTTAGAATTTTGCCCGAGGGGGACCTCCCAAGATTTTTCGCCCTAGTCTGAAAAGGCTAGGGGTAGATCTTACCTACCATAAAATCAGGGGGTGGCTGTAAGACAGGAGCCAAGGAGAAGCGATAGAAATGCTGCAAAAAGAGTCAGGAGCCCAGAGGAGGGGGCAAAGGAGGTGAGGGGGAGGGAGCACAAAATGAAGACGAAAGCAGAAGACAGAACATTGTTAGAGAGCAGGAAAGGATGTGAAAGAATACAATTTTATAGAAAAAAATTTTCTGGCGCTATTCGGATTCGAACCCGCAACCTATTGGACGAGAGCCCTCAGTGTTGTTTGAATGCAGATGACTGTCTTGGACAGGTGGCTGTTAAAGTAAGTTCGAATGTACACATATTTGACATTTGAAAACAACATTGATTTTCTGTAAAACCTGCAGGGAGAAAACAAATTATTTTGTGTCAGAAGAGAAGCTAACTTTATGGTCATGTACATACGAACAGAATGTCCTGACTTTGGACAGACCCGAAGGAAATATTTTAAATCATTGATATTATATAGATCATTGATCACTGCTGTTCTCGAGCGGAGCACTTAGTAACCTGAGGAACTGACCCGGTCAACCATGCCACGCCCGCGTGGTCATGGAGGTCACTATAATCTTTGCTCTACGAGTAAACTATTATGACTTTACAATTTTTATACAGTTTAATAGCGTCATCGTGGCTTTTCCCATAAACAAATCAATGTGAAATTATTATCAACAGATAGAGGCATTCTTGGACTGTACAGCAAATAACTTTTTATAGATATTCTTAGCAGGGCACCCTTTAAAACATGGGCGCTCATGGGGGCATCTATGGGGAAAATTTTTACGTGGGTCTACTTTTTAAAATTATGATATTTTAAAATGTGTACACCAGATCTCTAAAATAATCAGTGGCACACAACAGTCACATGATGAGCTTTCAGATTCAGTTACATTTGCTTTGATTAATTCAGATATGGGGAACTTGTATAAGATTTACTACTGACCAATTAATGAAACGAAAGATTTTTTGTCGTCTCCTCACAGTTTTCACAAATAGGAAACTTGTAGAAGATTCACTGCTATCCAATTCCATGAAACAAGATTTTCCTCGTTGTCTCCTCACAGTTAGAGCTGTTTTCACATTCACAAACACATTACATATGAATACCCAAAATTATAACAATAATTGCAAAAGGGTCTTTGTATCCACAGGCTAGTCGTCCTCTTCTTTTTTTTCTATTCCCAAGCTGCTGCCACAGCGTAGACGCATTTTGCAGTCTGTGGGCCTCAAATACAGCTTTCAACTGTTTCCCTTTTCCTATAATTCCCACTGTCCTCTTCTCCAGTTTTGCGATGCTGGAGTGTTCAAGTTTGCCACCCTGCTCGCCCATTAAACCCAGGCCAAATCCATATCTTTTAATAAAAGGCAGACAGTGGTGCTCTATGTGTTGTTTGGGTGTGACTGTGTTTGGAAATAGTAGTCTGTACAGCTTCAAATAAGCACAAATTGCTGTTCTTATAAAGTCAAACTCAGTTTCTTATATTTTATGTATGTAAGAGATGAGGTGGTGTACTTCCGCATAGCTGTTGTTTAATAAATCAGATTTCTGTCTGATTGTGTGGGCTGCATCTATGGTGTTTTGGTTAGATGTAAGAGCCGCAGTGTGTGTACAAATGTATTTGTGATGTTTGTGTACACTGGGCGCTTCAGTATTGGTGACAGTGGTTTCTTATCAGAGGTTGATTACGGTAAGGTGTCCAGCTGTGTAAACTTTCTTCAATACTTTTTTGTGCGGCAGATAAGGTTGCTTCTCAAACTAGTTTCCTTAAGCGGTAAATGCGTTGTACACACATTTGTTGCACAATTTACAGGGACGCGTGTCAGAACCATCCGTGTCCACGTTTACTCGATAGAAAACAAGTATGTCATTTTTTAAATTTACACAAAAATATCTGCCCTGGTTTGTTTCTTAGTTTTTCGACTTCTGACCCTGCATGTTCTACAATGTTTTTTAAAACACTCAAGGCGTAGTTCCTATGTATGTTACATTTTCCCTCTTGTAGCAGATTTTTCTAACAGTTGTTCTTAAAGCATATGGGAAAGTGAAAGCGGGACCTCGGATGAATACCGCGCAGGGCAGCACGGCAGTCGGGAAAATATCACAGGGTGAAGTAACAGAACTCGCCGTCCTGCTAAAGTTTTCCAGTGAATCTAAACGATTTTTTCACAAATAATCTCCTTACTGATTCTTGATACGGCAGATAAAAAAATTGATAACAATCTGCATTTCAGAAATGGAAAAATTATCATGATCTTTGTAGCAATCCGAGAAATATGTGCACCACAAGGTAGGGTTAAGTACAGAGGTAGTGTGTGTACACGTTCAGATCTAGAAATGAACTAAAGAAAGCGTTTTTTTGGGGAAGACTCAGGGCTTTCATTTGATACCACACACATCCATAGTGATAGATAAGAGAGGACATTTACTACAGGGGTTTATATAGAGAAAATATTACAGACTTTCTTCCCAAAATCGGCCTATAGCGCTATTACACGCGCGGCCCGACAGTCAGGTGGGATTCATCATAATTTACGACTCCAGGAGGTCAGCGGACGGGTTAAACTGAGTGGTCCTCAAGGATAGTAGAACTGAACAGCCATGCGCTGATTCAAACAGAATTCTCGATTTCATAAGACCGTTGGTCTTTATTCAAATATATAAACAGTGTTATTTTATAACATAAATGCTACTTCAACCATTTTGAGAGGCAAAGTAAAACCAAGCTGGGCTATGAACTAATGTGAAAAGAACTAACTTATGTCCAATGTGCTCATATGACCTTTTGCAGTTGCCAGTGCCTTAAAAGTTTTACCAAACTAAATTAAAATCCTACAATAATGTTGAGAAGACTAGAAAATTCATCAATCCGATCTGTGAGTGGAGTGCTGTGTTTCTGTTTTTCCATACAGTCTGCAGTTTCGTCAAGCCAGTATAGTTGCTACCTGGGTAAACGTGGAGAAGTTCACCTAAAAAAAGGGAACAAAATCAAACCCAACTTACTGCATTCAGAGCCTTCACCACTTTCTCAATGTCCACATACGTCAGCTTCTGTCTCCTTTCCTCCTGAAACACAAAGAAAAATTGAAAAAAGTTAAAACAATATTTGAGATGAAAAAACAGTATGCTACTTAAAGACTGGGTTTCACATCAAGAGAAATTTACATTTCGAGTCTAGACTCTGAAATCAAAATTTTTAGAAATTAAAAAAAAAAGCACAGATCAAAGTGACACTGCATAGATGCTGTTAATTTAAAAGAAACTTGCGCTGCAAACTCAGGAACAAATTATCCACATAACAGGAACCTAGCCCAACATCTGAAGGACCCCACAGATACATAATACAGTTGAGTACGAATGACACGAACACGGAAAACTCGAAATCACAGGTAACTCATGCATATTCGCCATTTCTTGACTGAAATCTCTTTGATATTTCGATATTTCAGTTAAACCTGAAATACGGATGTGTCGAACACATTTGTCAGCCCCCGACGTGTTTGAGTTGTCTGTGCCTGACTGTCCTTTATTAAATTTTCCAATACAAAGAAAATCTTCAGTCCTCGACACTATGTCCCACCTCCGAGGAACACAAGAATGATTGCCAAACCAGTGTTTATACTAAGTACACACAGGACAGAACACTTTTTATGACAAAAGAGAAATCTACATTTGTTAGGTGAGGCAGTCGAAACGTTAAATTTTCCTGTCCCCTTAACTTAGCCTAACATAATTTAAACCCCAAGAAATTGTGTAAACTATTTCTTGCTATAGGCTCACGTTTTAGGGAACAAGTGCAATATTGAACGGCTCAGTATGTTTTCATAAGCCCAGATGAAAATGTTTCTGGCACTTGCGTAATGATACTCAGAGCCATTTCAGTCCTTTAAATACTGCAAGTATCACCTGAGCTATGTCACTTTAGTATATTATCTTAAGCTTCTATTTCTATCACTATGATTTAAGGAAACTTTAAACACAACACACACACACACACACACACAAAAACAAAAAACAAAACAAATCCAGAACAAGAAAGACAGACAGCACAACAGCCCACCTCAGTCATATTATGGTAGTCTTCCACACCTTCTTGTTCCACAAAGTAAAGTATTTCTACATCGTAGATCACTGAAACAAAAATTGATAACTGACTTGTATTATAACCATTAAAAAACCATGCTGTACATCATCTTTAAGGCAAAGAGGATTTGGCGACTTTATTGTGTTTCCAGGGCATAAACAGTTGGTCTTACATGAAATGACAGTTTATTCCTTTGTGAGTCAGAACTTTTCATAGCTTATCAAACTTTTCTACCAATCAGCAATTCGTATAAAGTAAAGATTTACTTAAATTGATACTACTGCTTCAAGTATTTACTCAATCCAAGCTAGGGGAGAGGTACGTTTCATTCTCCATATCCAGCAAAATAGCTAGAGAAAATAATGTCGCATGACAAAGCAAAAGAAAAACCTGTTGCCATGTCATATTGAAGTGCAAGCCTGTAGGTGTATTCAGGAAAAACTAAAGTTCTTAAGATCAACAGTTGTTAAAGAAGACATAATGTCATTAAAAGTAACCTCTTTCAATTATTTCGGGAGTGTGTCATAGACGAAATGGGAGGAACTAAGGGTTAGGGATATTCATTCTTTTCCTCCAAAGTACCATGATCAAATCCTGCTTTGATACGTTTTGACTTCTACATATTCTTCTTACATTTATTCACGAAGATATTAGAAAGGCCTACCATTAAAATTTACCGATGGACATGGTCAATGAACATAGCTGCCATGACAGTCACACCGCTGCCAAACTGAAACTTTGTAACAGCTGTAAAAAAAAGGAAATTGGCAAACCTTGGTTTAACAAAATAGAGATTTGTCTGCAAACAAAGGTGTGATTTGATCTAACTACCACAGATTATTATTGCTATTCAGAACAAGTTCTAAATATCACCATACCCTCACAAACTACGAGAGTTTGTTCGTGCCTCACTTGATACTTGTACTCTACATGCAATGTGGTAACAAAGGCCAAACGAGGTATTGGTGCAATCAAGACCATGGCGGCCGCTCTGATTCCGCAAAGAGTGCTCTTCCTGATGTTGCAGCTGGTCGTCCTGTCTGTCATTGATTACGGATTGGGCTGTCTCACGCTGTCCAACACACAGATCGCAAAGCTGGATCGAGTGCAGAATGAGGCAATGAGAGCAGTGCTGGGCTGCACCAAGGACACTCCAATATTGTGCATGCGCTACTTGCTAGGTTTAAGTGGCATCAGAGTACGCCATAGGATAGCTCAGGCAAAGATGTATCTCAATGTAAAGGGCAAGAAGGATCATCCACTTCACAAAGCACTTCATGACAACAGGAGAGTCAGAATCAAGAGAGGAAAATCTTGGATGGCGGAAGCAGAGGATTCTCTGAGAACAATCTGTGTACCTGAGAGCCTACCACTAGGCGAAGAATGGGAGCAGGTGGCCGGAGAATACAGGGACCTCACCAAGGTCAAAATAAGCATGGGCAGAGACAGAAGAAATGTTGAGGCTGCCATCAACGAGAGCGATATCAACCGGATTGTTGACACAAACTCAAAAGCAGGGGATCCTATAATTTATACAGATGGTTCAGTGAAAAGAGATAGCCAGAGAAGTGGATGGGGATTTGTTGCATTCGCCAACAATAAAATCATACACAGTGCATCTGGAGCCTGCAGCAGGGCTACATCAAGTATGCGAATGGAAATTGAAGCCATCACGAAAGCACTTGACTGGATGACCCAAGATCGCCCCCACACAACCCATGCTGTTCTTATCACTGATTCCATGTGTACCCTCAGAAGGATCGAAAAAGGTTTCCTGAGAACGGAATGGATTCAAGCTATCGAACCAACGCCTATACGATCGCTCACATGGATTTTCTGCCCTGGCCATGCAGGTGTTAGGGGAAATGAAAAAGCCGACAGATTGGCTAGTGAGGCCACCTTAGTTGACAATACAGTTCAACCAGATAGGGTCGAGATCCTGAAATGTCTTTCTCGCCAACTGATTGAGGAGGAAGATAGGGAGGCAGAGGCCAGTGCTGCCGTGGAGAGGATGATGCTTTTGGGAATAAAAAAAGGAAGCGGAAAATCTGGCATCCTTGCAGGAAAGAACAGAAGAACGTTCAACTAGATGTGCACTGGCACAATCAGTAGAAGGACCCTCGGCAACATTTTGGAGAGAGCAACGGAGCATCAATGGACATGTCCGGAGGGCAGGGATGTTGCTTCCTGAAACAAGAACAAGAAATCTACATGCAAAAGGATGTCCATGTTTCATCTCCATTTACAGCTCGTCCTCATCATGATGAAACCCATTACAACTGAAAGCACCTATAAGAGAAGCAACTTTAACATAGAAAACTCACAGGAAGTGGACTTGGGGATGCGAGGCGGGCAGCCCATTTCTCCATATGCGTAGTCGTGATGGATGAGAAAACGGGCAGTCTCGTGTTTCTTCATGGACAACAGAGCGAGCTCCAAGCCGCGAATACATTGACCTGAGGAGAAGCAAGAAGTCAACGATTACACCCTTCCTCACTGCCTCCCATCCTCCAATTTGACAACAGTATACATATATCATGTCTTACTTTTTCAAAGTTACAAGAACAACTATGTAAAATGCAGCTGTAAATAAGTTAGGTATCACACCAATCCTTAAGTCCATGAATTACATTAGACAGCCTAAGTCTGCCAAATGAAACATTTAAGAAAACGAACTCCTCACTTTCTTTATTACTATGCCTAATAGATTCATTGCATAATCACACATTATTAATGAGCTGTGCAAGCCTTATTGTACTAGCTGGAATTTCTAACTTTCGGGCGTTTTTCACTGCTGTTTAGGCTGTTTAATAATTTTCCCTTTGAGCCCAAAATTATTATGGAAGCTATTCGTTTTCCAAAGACTATCATTTTCACATTGTACCAATTGCAGTTTTCACAACCAAAGTTCAGTGACTTCAAAGTGATTTGAATCAAAATTGGTATTACAAATCCAAAACAGCGCAAAGCTCACATGTTGGCTAATGTGAACAAAAACACTTGACAAAAATTATTCTATGACTCTTTGCTTTTGCTGATAGACTGTTTGTTGTGGAAATTCATTAAATGAAGTGTGAATAAAAGATGCTACACACAAACAAAGAGAGGGAGAGAAAGAGTGAGAGAGAGAGAGGGAGGCAAGGAGGAGACAGACAGACAGACAGCTGGACTCCCTGACGACAGTCCCCCTCCATCCACCTTTGATCATCAATAATTTGTTTATAGAGGCACAAGCCATCCATGTCCAGGTGCTGTTTTTGCCTTGTTATCTATCCTTGAGCATCGCAAAACTCGTGTCTCATTATCCCAATCCCAATCTCTCCCGTTTTTTTTCAATTTCTCTTAGGTACAAATTGCTATTAATGAGAAAATTGTTTTACTTGAGGCAGTGAAGGGGACCATCTTAGATCACCGGGAATGGGGGTTAACGAATGCAGCTGTTGTAATCGGAAAATTAACTGTGTCTAGATCTAGATATAAGTATGAGAAAGTAAGAAATATCTTCGAAATTTTTTAGAGTGAAAGTAGTCTCAGGCAATTATGGGCGAAGAGCAAAAGTAAGGGTTCCAGTCTCCATCTCAAGCCACTTTTGTTTGTCCCTGCATGAGAGTGAGCTAAAGTGGAAGACAGTTATACATAGCTATGTGTGTGTGTGTGTGTGTGTGTGTGAGTGTGTGTGTGTGTGTGTGTGCATGTGTGTGTGTGTTTGTGTGTGTATGTGTGTGTGTGTGTGTTTGCGTGTGTGTGGGTATGTGTGTGCGTGTTTACGTAATTTATTTATTTAATTTTACTTTTTCAACATCTTTTTACCTTCATTATACTCTTAGTCAGACTTAATGCTGCCATTTGCGGTCGCATGTCATTACATGGGGATAGAGTAGGGAAGTAATTTGATATAACATTTCCTACACTTAATACTAACTGGTCTGTCTTTCCACTTCATTAATTGTGGCCTATAAATGTACTGTCTCTTTGGAGATGGGGACTTTCAATGCCCGGGGTGTCTAAGTTGTCGCTTGACGCAATTTCGCTTCCAGTCCTCCAGTACTGTGTATTGCATTTTATGTGTATATATACAGTCGAACCTGTGTAAGACGGCCACCCATTGTCAAGGAGAAAAGTGGCCGTATAAGACAGATGGCCGTCTTAGGCAGGACTGATCAAGATGAAGAAAACAAACCATTCCTTTCTGAGGTCCCAACTGAAGATAGCCGCATTGTTGTTGTTGTTGTAGTTTTAGCCTGGGTTTTTTTTCTTCTGTTTTTTCTTTCGTTGCTGCTTTTGTGAAAGGGTGACAATAAAATGAAATGTGTTAGACAAGGAGGACCGAGTGCTATGTTGAAACAAGCACATGGGCCGCCATCACTCGGAGAACGAGTGACGCTTCAGTCACACATTCATGTTGACGTCCATTGTTACTTTGTTACAGACTGGGTAAACAGTGACCACTCATCTCATTTACGATTTGTGTATGAGTTCTGGGTGGGGCTTATGGGTTATGAGGGATCACATGCTTACCTCACCAGCAGCTGAATATTTGTTACCTATTGGTCAACAGTGGGAGGGGCCTACGCAACATGATCGGTTGGAGGGACTACCTAACAACAACAGGTAAATGGATTATGACGATTCGCCCACAAGGCCAGGAGCAATGCACAATTTGTGACAAAACGTAATGGAGTCATTTAGGAGGCCGTCTAAGACAGGTGTTATTGCTTGGTGTGATAGGGGTAGTGTGTTAAAATATGGTTGCTGCAGCCGCGTCAGACAGGTGCCCGTTTTACACAGCTTAATTATATCGAAAAAACGCAAGGGGAAAATGGAAAGTGGCTGTTTGTACAGGTGGCCGTCCTATAGAGGTGGCCGTTGAGCAGATTCGACTGTATATATTTATATACTATTGGTGAATTAGCTGGTATCACCTTAAGAAGAGGCAACTCTGTAATTCTCTGGTCAACTGGGCATGGTTTTTCAGGCTTTTCAGATGCTCCGATGATCACAGAAGTGCCTCGGGATCGGTTGCGAATGCCGACAGCGACAACTTGTAAGCACATAAGTTAGTCTAGACGTGTTAGTCTTATGTTACGGAACGCAACTGCATTGACTATGAAAAATATTACAAAGGTTATTGGCAGCACTCCTTTCACTGTTTTGAAAATATGGTAGCATAGACGTAGGGTAACAAACACACTAAAAAAATGTCATCACTTAGAAGCGTCCCCCATGTGATTTTTCGCCATACGTTTATTAAATGCCAGGGTAGAAGATGATGAATTATTTCCAAATTTTTGGTCACTCTATGCAAGGAGTTAGGAATGAGGGATGTGTCCTGCCCCCCCCCCCCCCCCCCCCCAGAACAGCTTGGCGGCGATCTAGAGTAAGCGTCAAACAAACAAAAAATGAAACACACTTAACACTGAGACTAATAAGCACATTATTAGCAACACTAAAGCATCATCATCGTCACCATCACCATCATCATCATCGACTAAACAATTCTCTTTTTTTTCTTGTTTCGTTTTTCTAGAAAACATAACAATTTGCACCATGTCAATAAATTTTTACGTAACCTACAAATATCAGCACCAAAATCAGGACACGATCTTAAGACGATGAAGACCGAGTGCCATGGATCAAACACACGGGTCGCCACCACTTGGAGAATGAGCAACGCTTTTTTTCACAAGTTCACGTCAACGTCACTGTTACTTTGTTACAGATTAGGTAAACAAAACAGTGGCCAGTCACCTCACACACGATTTGTGCAAGAGTTGTGGGCGGGGCTTATAGGTTATGACAGATCACATGCTTCCCTCACCAGCAGTTGAAAATTTATTGTTAGGCCTACCCATTGGTGAACTTGGGTAAACAGTCATTGGAGGGACTAACAGCAATGACAGGTGAATGAATTATGACAGCCCATCCACAGCGTCAGGGGCCGATTCAAAATTTTTGACAAAGCGCCGGGCGATGAGTGACCACACCTGGCCGTCTCAGGCAGGTAAATTTGATCGGGGGTTGATAAAATAAGGTGGCCGCGGCCGAGTTGTACAGGTGACCGTTTTACACAGTTAAGTTATATAGAAAAAACGAAAAGGGGGAAATGAAAAGCGGCCGTTTGTACAGGAGGCCGTATTATACAGGTGGCCATCATGGCAGGTTCGACTGTAGTACCCAGCCCTACTGAAAGCACTAGTGTCGGCCGTCCGCAGATATATATTTATATATTTTTTAACCGGAAATTTGTCGCACGCCTACGAAATAAAAATTGTTTTCACGTCGCCGGCTATTGAAGACTTGCCCGACCGGTGTAGCCGGAGGGAGGCCCACGGATGAATTCAAGTAGCCGGAAATTCCGGCAGGAGCCGGAAAACTTTATCCCCTGGGAACATGTTAAGTTTACCAGACTGCATATTTAAAAAGGATACTTCTTATGATACAAAGAAGTTTGTAGTGCTTTTCAAAACAGAATCTTAAGAGATCAAAATATAAACTACAAAGGCATTAACAGTTTTTAGATGATTTCTTTAACGCATTCTAATTGTAGTTTTTTTCAAATATCATATATTTCCTCACCTAAAAAAATTTTTTAATGACTCTAATTTTATGTTCTAAAACAGGGTACAGCACACATTTGAGTATTAAGCCAGATCCTGTTCTCATTATCATAAGTAACCCAGCATATTGACGATATAAAGACAACTCCCCCCCCCCCCCCCCAAATTTATAATCTAGGCAGGGAAAGTTACTTTATAATTGCAGAACCGAACTATTTGCTCACCTGTGCCAAGACGCAGCTTTGAATACTGATCTCGGAGTCTGCTGCTATCATACGGAGCTTGGCCAACATCAGTGTAGGCATTGTAGTGGACTGCACAGAGAAGAGATAACAAATACAAAGTCATTTGATTAGCCAGACAAACAAATGCGAGGTGTGCTATGAGTTACTTCTCACAATCCACAAATGGAAATATCGGCCAAAAACCAACACTAAATTAAATTTGTAGATTTTCTATTTATGCTTTATTTTTTAACAATATTATGTCTTTTATTATTCCATACTTATGAATTGTAAAATCTTCACCTATAACCATGGTGTATCAATTTCCATAGGGCTTGAAATCGAGAAGAAACTCTCATTTTGTCAGCACGCTTCACATATGTTTCCATGCTTGTCATTTTCCACAAACCATCAACAACTTGAAACATTTAAACATCATGTTTAGTTTTGTTGCGCCAACGAGTTGAAAGTCACTGATGTTTTATGACTCCTCAGAGTGTCATTATTATAAATAGTGTCATGACATGGTGGAATCATTCGCTTGTCAATTTTTGGGCATACGGAGTCATTGGTATCATCTGTCTCGCGATCGATGAAAAAAATAGCAACTTATATCTTGAATACAAGTCGAGTTATTTTTGATTGAAAGTAGTGGGTGTCTTGACTAAAAATAAAAATGACACCACAGAACAATTACTCACAGCTGACCAAAGCGCCTTCCGCAACAAGACCACCTATTCCAGGTGTTTTCATTTCTTTCAGGACACCTCCGTCTTTGTTAGGCGTGATGTCACTGTCTCTCATTTTCAGCAAACGTTTGTGGAGTCTCTCCTTCTCTGTCAAGTACTCTCCATCGCCTTCAAAGTTGTCCTCCTCATCTTCGTTGTCGGAGAGGAGACAAATACTGGCAGCGACTTTGTTCTTTTCAAAACAATGAAGGTTTGTATCCTGTTCTTGATCTGATGATAAAAATAAAATTAACAGGTGTAGTGACGCCGGTGTCTTTCAACTCCGATGCAAAAAGTCTGATACCCACAAAACAGTGGTATTCAGGTGGTTAGTTTTTTGGGGTGAACCAAATAATAAAAAATACAGATTTTTACTTTTTTAGAACTATGACAATTGTTATCCTGTTGAACTAAGCCCCTTCAAACATCTCATATTAAACCCCTTGCTAAAAAATGCTTTCTCAAACTTTTGCTTATCCGTCAAAAAGTCAGTGTTTCTCAGACTCATTTAAAAACATGGCAAGAAACAAACATAGGTATGACCTAAACAGCAGAAAATTTAAAACAAGTTCAATATGCGCTGTATGTTTTACCTTTTCTTTCTTCTGAGAGATCGTACTTAAAGTTATATTTCATTTTCCCATTACTGCATCTTGCAGCCTATAGTATACTATATATTTCTCAGAATTACAAACATTATGCCTGAAGACATACCAGTTTGAGCCAAATCATTTTCATCAACTTCAAACTCAACTCCTTCTCCATCAGGATCTCTTAGATCATTTATGTCCAAGGCATTTTTCAAACGAGTGCAAGTCTCATCATTTCCCTGAAAAATACACAAAAATAATTAAAAGACTAAATAAGCAAGAATAAACAGAAACAGAAAAATTATATATATATATAGATTATAGTGTGCCTACCTCAATCCGGCTTTCTATTCTATTGCGTTCACTAACTTCATTTTATGAAGAACAGAGTTCTATACAACTTTAAAACAAAAAAAATTAGAACACTTTAGGGTGGGGCCATCAAATTCACATGAGGGGAGAAAAAGATTAGGCCGGTTTGACCCCATTCAAAAGATGAGCAAAATACCTACCCTTGATTTGGGAACACAACACAGCCAGGCATGGTTAGCTGATGACTCCAATAAACTGATTCCTTCATACCTTGAGTAGGCTAGTGGCAGTTTAAAGGCAACAGAATTGGAGGGGAAATAAGAAAAGGAAAGACGGGGTGAGAACAACCCATGTCTCGCTATTCTCAACATCTCGTTTTACTGGAAATGACCCTAAAGGGATCAAGGCTGAGATCACCAGGGCTGATGCTAACAGGATCATATTCGTGTCCGAATAGGCCTAGTTAAGTCACAGTCAGGGCTGTCAGTGTCAGTTTGGAGCCAAATCCCAGAAATTTGTCTCTTTTGGATCATGCCTCGCCCGGAGAATTTCATTTTGTTCTCTAGCTCTTTTTTTTGCTCCAAACTCCAAATGTTAAAGAAGAAGGCGAAAGAAGAAGCAAGAAAAAAAGAAAAAGAAAGAACAAAAGAAAATAAAAGAAAGTGAAGGAAAGATCTTGGATTGCTTGATTATTAAACTAGTTAACACGCTTTAACGCCCTCGCCCATTTGGTCTGAACAATTCACAACCCTTCCACAATCGTGCAAGAGCATAGTCTCATTACGTTCGTACACGCTCTCTGTTCTATGAACCATAATTTATTGTGTGCAGGTAGCAGAGAGGCCTGCCACTGTTAAGTGTATAAACAACAAATTGTGCGGCCAGCGGCCGGTCCCACATCCCGCGCAGTAGCATGTGTAGTGAGACAATTTTTTACGGTAGAGGCGAAAAAAGTTTTTACATTATTCTGCATCGTAATTTTCCATATCCCATTATATCCCGACTTTAATTCAGTAAAAGCGCTCCTTCATCTCACGGGCAAGAACGCTTACAGCAGGCTGAACAATTACATTAAAAAAATATAGTCCACATCACAGTCGATATCCGGGGGGGGGGGGGGGGGGGAATAGCGAGTCATGAGCTTCTCTCACCAGGGGTGAGAATAGCAGGTCATAAGTTTATTCTCACCAGGGATGAGAATATAGGTGGCCAAGGAAAAACGTCTCAAATCAAATCTGAGAAGGCAAAGCATTTTTCCAGACACCCCCCCCCCCCTCAATCTAAAAAAATTACAAGTTTTATGTTAAGCAATTTGATTTAAGTTTGAGAACTTCTTGAAAACAATTATTGGTGTGTTCTACAGGCAGTTTAGCTTGACCCCAATAAAGGCAGATGAGTGCAAATACATGTGGTTACGAATGTGAAATTTTACTTCCATACTCAGGCTATTATAAAATGAATCAATTAATTCTATACCATTATAATTATTATAAATTAAAAACTTTTATACCATAATCATTATATAAATTAAAAATAAAAACTACAAAATAGATCTCTTCCTTAGGCCTATTATGTATTTTATAGCATGACTTTGTCATGACGCCTTAGAAGCCTAAGCCAAGTAGGTCTGAGAAAAGGCTACTGTGTAGTCTACAGAAGGACTTCTGATAACGAATGACCACGCCAACAAACATAATAGAAGAGACCTTTCTAACCCTAACCCTGACCCAACTCCTAATACGGGGTGCCAATTAGGGGATCGGGGCGGGGCGGGGCGGGGCGGAGCGGCTTGGTAACCAAATTGAGGGCGCAAAGCGGGTATCCATGGTAGGCCTACAAGCCGATCGCCCTCGAATCGTCGCCTCTAAAAAACAACGTGTTTATTATCAGGCGACAAGTCGAGTGATCGACCCGACCCGATACCATCCGCAATGGGCACCCAGTATAACCCTACCCCAAACCCTAACAATAGTCACTACCCCTACCCCAAAGTGGGCCAAAGGCTAAACCTCTCTCAGCTCTGTAACTATTCTAATTAGAACTCTCTCTGTTTTAGTTGCCAGTCACGGAATTTCTCAAAGTCTACTAACTAAAAGGACTTTTAAGTCAACTCTAGATTTAGGTCCAGATCTCTAGATCTAGATCTAGATCTTGACTTAATGATCTAGATTAGCAGGCTAGACAGAGCTAATCAGGCTCAGACTCATCAAGGCTATTCGAAACTCGAGAGCAAACGTGTAGGTAGGCCTGGCTTGTTTTAATTATTAAATATAAGCCGGCGATTGTTAAGATTCCCGCGTTTGATTCCGATGTGCGTTTTTCATACCCTCAGGCATATTTCGCTTTGGTCCCTAACCCTAAGGGTTAACGCGGGAATCTTAATGAAGCCTGCTGCTACTAAACTAGATCTAGATCTAAGCCTAAGCCTAAAAGCCCTAAGCTAAGCAAAATATGAACTTACAAAAGGATCCATAGTGCCGCCTCTGAATTCAGAAGTCGTAGAACTCTAAACCTATCAACACAGATAAAAGGAAACTGAACCAAAACGTGAATCAACAGTGAAACAAAAGTAAAAGGACTAGATTTTCTATCATATTTTCGTCGATTGTTACGCTTTAAATCAATGTTGTTACTTTCGGTTTTGCTTTCGCGTTTTGTGAGTGAGTGAGTGACTTCCCCTTCCGCCTTCCTATTTGTTGCTTCCTGTTCTGCCAGTGATTTTAATTTTTAGCAGCAGAAAAGTGAACAGGCCTAGTTTGAGTTTTGAGTCAACATTGTTTTACATGTATTTTATTTTACCGCTCAAAAAAAAAAAAAAAAAAAAAAAGAAAAGAAAAAAGAACAAAAAAAGAAGATGTTTTTCTATTTTGCTTTTACAATTTTAGATTAAGCTTACGATTTTTATTGAATTATTAGTTGCAATTTTCTAAAATATACATTTCGATGTAGATTCTAGATCGTTTATGTTTTAGTATCCAAACCACCACCGCAAAGAGCCTGCCATCCAGACTTACGAATGAACTTCCTGATTTCGCGCGAAAACGGAGAAGCACTCAAGCCAGAGGAAGGTACTCCTAAATAGGCCTACGCACGAGTTTGGTTTGCCACCGTGCCACCTGGTTTCCCGTGTTTTCTCGCGGTTTTTATACAAACAAGGTCCAAATTACACTCGAGACATTCCCTTTTCAATTTGGCTTCAAAATAACCGCTGATCACCATAAAGAAACGGGGAAAGATCGGGTCGAGGTTCCTGTCCCGAGTGTTTTTATTTATTTATTTATTTATTTAGGCCTATTTATTTATCTATTTATTTATTTATTTGTTTGTGATTGTTTGTTTATTTATTATTCATTCATTTATTTATTCTTTTATTTATTTATTTTAACTTATTTTTCAAATTATATGTTTATCTATTTCATTTTTATTTTCACTTTATTTCATTTTAGGCCCATTCCTCGGGAGGGGAGTGTCTCTTCCCTTTCCCCCCCATTAAATTCATGGAGACAGAAGAGTGGGGAGAGACAAATATATGGAGACTTGGAAGTTTCGCTCTGCTTTATTTTAGAACAAGTGGGAGATAGACAAGACGAGACAGACAGATAGACAAGCAGATCGGGGGAAAGAGGGTTATAAGTAGGATAGAGAGGGGTAATTTGAGGGGGGGGGGGGAGATAGACAGACATACATAGCCTACATATGTATACATACATCTGTCTCAGTCAGTCTGTCTGTCTGTCTGTCTGTCTGTCTGTCTGTCTGTCTGTCTGTCTGTCTGTCTGTCTATCTGTCTGTCTATCTATCTATCTGTCTGTCTGTCTGTCTGTCTCTTTCTCTCTCTCTCTCTCTCTCTCTCTCTCTCTCGGTCGTCGGCACCGACACAGACACACACAAACACACAGATTGCCTATCCCTTACCTCTCGTCTCACATGACACAGAGAGAGAGAGGGAGAGAGAGAGAAAGACACACACACACACACTCTCTCTCTCTCTCTCTCTCTCTCTTTCACACACACACACACACACACACACACACACACACAAACACTCGCACACACACTCACACACATACATGCATGTAAACACACGCACCCACACACAGAGAGAGAGAGAGAGAGAGAGAGAGAGAGAGAGAAGGAGAGAGAGAGAGAGAGAGAGAGAGAGAGAGAGAGAGAGAGAGAGAGAGAGAGAGAGAGAGAGAGAGAGAAATATAGTGATGTTTACTCAATATCTCACTTTTTAGCGAAAAGAGCCACAGTCAAGCTTTGGAAGTTACTAAACTTTAGTGGCCTTCTTTTCGCAAATTTTACCTTTGCCGTCAAGCAACAGCAATCACTCCCCTCAATCCCAAACCATTGTTATTGTTATACGTCTTCTGCTCAAGATAGATTAGGAATTTCTTTTCCATTGAAAGCGAAGCAAATTAACAGGCTTTAAAATTAGATCTATACCATCGATTCCCTGTTCTTACAAATTGATGAGAGATTGATTTCACCGTTTATGTGAAGTGTGTGTATGATAGATAGATAGATAGATAGATAGATAGATAGATAGATAGATAGATAGATAGATAGATAGATAGATAGATAGATAGATAGATAGATAGATAGATAGATAGATAGATAGATAGATAGATAGATAGATAGATAGATAGATAGATAGATAGATAGATAGACAGATAGTAGACAAAGAGAGAGAGAGAGAGAGAGAGAGAGAGAGAGAGAGAGACAGAGAGAGAGACAGAGAGAGAGACAGAGAGAGAGACACAGAGAGAGAGAGATCAGTCTCCGACTTCCTTCCCCCTTCTTCCCCTCTACCCATTTCCGACAATAAGAACCTACAACTGGAAAACTGTTAAGACTGCTTATTGGATTCATGGGTTGAACTGGAGCATTATTTTGGAGTGAAGCACATAAATCAAAGACAGTATTTTTACTTCTTTTATTTTTCATTTTTGTTTTTCTAGTTTTGATTCTAGTTTTGAGAACAATCTTGCAATTATAACATCCAAATATACATAATTTTTTGACGGTATAGATTTATATGATGTCATTTAAGAGGACCTGATCGTATGTTTGTCTGTTTTTATATCATATTATTTTGCTTGTTTGTTATTTGTCTTGCTACTCCCAAAAAACGAACGGCGTGAGATGACGAGAGATTCCGGGACACTAGAGGCTTCTGGGTAACAGAAATCTTGAGCAAGACGCCATTTTTCTCGAAGACGCCATCTTACTCTGTGCAGACATTTGCATTCTTGCATACGTTCTGATAGATATTTTGGCATTTGACAGTTTTTCTGTGACAGTTAATAGTGAAAGTTTACCCCAGAGTTGCTTTGCTGTTTTTCCTGTCGTTTTCAAGCTTCAGTTGAGTCAAGAGTCCCGTGTGTTCGCTGCCCGAAGTTCTACAAGTCCAACACTGGTTCTGGTAAGTAAATTTTAACTTTTCCATCTTAGTTTTGTCTCATGATTTTATGCTCTGTGGATTATTTGATTTGATAACTTAATATGAACTTTAACTTTATTAACTAAATCGTATTTTTTTATCGTGTGTTTGCTAAAGTGGTTCTCTGTTAGCAATTAGCATGTAGTTCACAAATAGTATGCCTTTTGCCCTGAAACTCTTCCCATAATGTGAGTCTCCCCCTTTCTTTGTCCATCTTTCTTTCTCTTTCTCTCTTTCTCCGACTCCGCCTCTATCTCTGGTAAATTACGGTAATGTAACCCTACATAAATGTTTCACTTTTGGATTTTCTTGTTTATCCCCTTTTACGGGTGGTATTTCTTAACGAGGGACCATTGTGAAATAGATAGAGGGTTATGGTAAGTGTTAAAGTTAGGGCTACGTCTTTTCTTTGTTGTGTGGTTTTTCTTTTGGGGTGGTTGCTCATTACGGAAGTCCTTCCCCTCTTTACTCATTCTAATATTGATGCCAGGTAAATGACAAGTGCTATCCTTTTATGAAAGAAAACCCAACTATAACCTGTGACTCTGATACCAGTAGTTGATTTTGGCTGTCCCCTGCACTATCAATGAATGTTCTGATTATCATTTGCGTGTATAATTATGTTACTGATTTCAAATCTGATTTGACACCATAATTGTTTTCTGTTTTTCGACACATGATTGATGCCACCAATATTTGTTTTTGTCTTTTGACTTACGTGTCTAATATTTGACTCCGATATTGAGAAGCCGGATAAGTAATTTTAGCCCTCGACATTGATGTGCGTAACCAGTAATTCATTTTCTCAAACTCTGATGCGCGGAACCAGTGATACAAATTATATTATTGATATGCGGAACTAGAAATCTAGATCTAGTCATTAATTTTTGCAAACATCTTTTGTGGAATCAGTTATTAATTTTTTGCAAATGATATGTGGAACGAGTACTTGATTTTCACAAACAATGCGCACAGTCAATAAGTAGTTTTCAGAAACATGGATACGCGTTACTAGTAATTAATTTCCACCACCATTTTGATACCGTGCTTGTAAAAGGTAATACATCACACAAACATTGATACTTGTAAACTGTAATTAATTGCCATCAACAGTGATATGCAAGACTAAAAATTTCTTCAGAGATTGATAAGTATAAGCATAACCAATAACTGATTGCAAAAGAAGCTAATGCTTAACACGTTTTTGCTAAGAGATTTGTGCTTGTAATCAACAAATAAATAGTAGCTCGTACACTTGACATAGATTTTCATACTTGGTTGATACAGAATGGTTGAAGTAGCCAGTAACTGATATCCATACCTTAGATTGAATTTACTTACTATTACGAGCATAACCATTTTGGACTTAACTCGGTAAATAAAAGAGAAACGCAAACCATAGTTGCTTCAGACACTGACAAACACACACACACACACACACACACACACACACACACACACACACACACA